GGCGGATAAGCCTACGTACAACAATAGAGGCTTAAAGGGTTGACAGTGTAGGAATGGGTGTCGTTCAGATATACTGTGCATCTATTATTCGACCGCAGCCGCAGACTCAATTTACGGTAACACATTCAGGACTTACCTAGGTGCCCGTCAACTCTATGATTAACGAGAAATCGTTACTAATCTCTTCTCAACTCCCGTAAGAAGCAACAGTGAACTACCTATGCGAATCTCTGAAGGATAACGTAAGCTACGGCAAGTTGTGCCTAAGGTTGGAGATCGGTTATCGACTTACGAGTTCTAAGATGTTAATTGGAAGCCGTCTGTCCGGCTTCATCCGTTGTAACCCCCGGTAAAAGCATTGGCCAAACAAGAATTTCCATTTGGTGCATTTGACTCTGAGATTTCTCAGCCACTTAGTAATCCATTCCAGATACATCTCTTGTACTCACGGTATCAGACCGAAGATTCCTTTGAGATTAACGACATGCTACCATTCGGTTGAATAGTGTATGGTGGTAAGCATTATCAGATTAACGCAGTCACCTTGGAAAAGCCAGCCCAAGACTAGCGTCAAACATGAGATGTATTTTCCATCGTTTATTGGAAGCGCATGAGTTTGTCTATTAATCAGTGTGAATCTGCGAAATGAAGTTTTGCACGCTGTTTTCTTCCATAAGGAAAATACAGTCCGAGGAGCCTATTGTTGAGCTGTCACATCATCGAGAAGGAGAGTCATTTAGTTCGACAGAGATTAATTCGAGGCCGAAAAGCGTCCTGTGACAGTTCCGAAGCTGACGCTATCCAGTGCTACGCTGCAGAAAACTAAATGCATTCACTCACTTTAAAAACCACACATGGCACCTGCTACAGATCATCAGAAAAATGTATCAAGAACGCCTGAGTTTGGCCATTTGTTCGATGACCGATCAAATAGCAGTTTCCGTCTAACAAGATCAATTATTGAGCGAAAAAGTACGGTAAACGCCGGACAGGGGGACAAAAGTCAACCACTCCCATAAAGAGGTCAAATGGTTGGAATTAGAGCGCCTAGAGTGTAAGATTGTAACCACTAATTGCTATAACTCGGCCACCATGCTAGTTAAAACATCTGTATGGGGTGTCTGGACGTTACACACTACTCATAAGGTTGCCCTGGACGGTCCACGACAGATTTCGCCCTACTTGGGGCTCATCAGGTAGACGCAGTACTCGGGTTTCCGTCAACACTATGTTCTACCCGAAACCAAATTGGACAGAATTCCACACATTTCTCACTTGCACACGATTTGGGTTTTGACAGGAAACCGAGCTGGATCTCTCTTTTATGTTGGTCCGCTGAAACTGAGTACTCGGGTTCCGTCAACACTATGTTCTACCCGAAACCAAATTGGACAGAATTCCACACATTTCTCACTTGCACACGATTTGGGTTTTGACAGGAAACCGAGCTGGATCTCTCTTTTATGTTGGTCCGCTGAAACTGAGTGTGTTGTATCAAGCAGCCTCATGTTCCAGTCTGGATGATTTTAGATTTACGCGTTGTCTACACGTGACCCACTACTGTTTATGGGATGGTTCATCGCACAAATGTAGGACCAGTTGTTGTATGGCACTCCCTCAGCGGAAGCTACAATTCTGAGTTAAAAATTTGAATAAAGATAACATGACAAATCTCATTCCATCAGCTTCAATGTAAATCAGGTTCAGGTACAGCAGGATTTAGCTAACTCAACGGAGATTTACACTGTGATAAGCAAACAGGCGAATAAATTTAAAAAAAGTACACCAGTGTCGAACAAATAATAATCCAAGGAATCCTAATAAAATTACTTAGAGTGGACCGCGTGACGAGGGATTTTCAGTATGTCAAGCTGTTTTATTGAGGCACCTTAACTTGCAGTTGGACGAATTCCTAGCAATCTTACCCCAAGAAATCGAGTTACATTCCCCCCCCGCGCCAACACTGATCTGTGCCGTATGGTTTGAGGTGAAAAATCTCGAAATTTGGAATATCGGGTTGGATGAGTCAAGAGCTATACATAACATTATACACCTGTTTCCGGAAATCAGTGCTTACAATCCTGACCAGACCTTCTGGTCATATTACACAGCGTGCAAAAGACTGATGCGGTCAAAGGCAGTGGCCGAGTGGGCCGCAATTGCGTCGCTGAGGTGAGGTAGCGGATGCACCTTTCACTAGTTCAGGTGACGTGAGGAAACCTCACAGACGTCACACAAACTTCACGGTATCATATAATTGAGCCACTCCTAAAGCAACCATAACCGCCAATCATAGACAACTGAGTTTTTCGTCGAAAGAAGTTTGGTCAGTAGATTACACTCAAACCACGTATGCAGCTAGTAGGTGGCTACAGGCCTGAACACCACGCAGTCAAATGCACACATTGCATGCCCAAGATGACTACAGGAGTTTCGGCAAAATAAAGTGAGGATTACACTGGATATGTAGTACCAGCCAATCGGTGTCCTGTCAAGTGAAGTCCCCCAAAGTACACACTATTGCAGCCTAGCGACGCGACCATTCTACATCACCTTAGTGGGAAAAACTCCGCACTCATTTCACACTTCCATCAACTGCCATATTAGGAACCAAACCCATCAAAATGAACAGGTCCGTGTTCTCCATAATAGTGACTGGATCAATAACTTACACCTCCATCCCATCAATGACCACAGGCGATTACTACATCCAACAATTCAGCTTTTATACTACCATATTCCTATATCGACTGTTCAGTCTCCCCACGAATTACCCGATGGTAATGAGCTGCTTTATGCGCGTTTCCTGCTTCACCAATCCTGTGATAGCTGTGGCGGAAGCAGGTTATTTTTGAAATTACAGGAACTCCCAGATCCCGTTAGAATCTTTGCTACCACCACTTGTTTCGAGTAAACGTTCCGAGTTTTCTCCCAGAACTAGAACTCTGCAGTAAGCGCTCTGTTTTCCTGCATCTCGCTGAATCGCTTACTCAAAATACCACTGTGTTGTGATCATGTGGCAAAAGCTCTTTGATGTGGTCAATGCGTTAGGATGAGACGTTCACTGGAGTGAATGAATGGCATTCACAGTCGTACCCTAGCCAGGAAGTGGTGCAAGTTAGGAAGTTTAAAAATTCCCAAGGAGAACCTAGGTTTCGGTAGGCCCAAAGTAAAAAATCGTAAAAAATCGGAAGCCCATTTTCATTACCCTCGCATCATTACATAGTCAGAAAAGACATCAGCAACTACACTCAAGTACAACCGTTTCCTTGGACCCATTTTTCAACTTCCATCATGTTGCCGCCAAAGTCCTCGCAGAAATATCAATCAATCTGCACCTGTTTGGTGCATTGCAATCTCCAAGTGTCTGTTCAAGAATCAGCACCAAAAACACCAATTTTCATTGTGAAGCGCTCGAATGGTGCAAGCTTTCGAAGATCTTCTGAGTATTGAAATTCTAGAATCCGAAAAACCGCGTTTGTTGCTCTCCTTAGCCGAGGAACATCCGGCTTGACTTCAATCAATATTCCCGATGAAAAGCATAGAGGAAGAACAGCCAGTGTGAGGAAAGATGTTCCGGTCGATGTAGGCTAGTTTAGCAACGGTTTTCTTCAGGAGTTGCAAACGCATTCTAATTTCACACCAGTTCCCGAAGAGAGAAAAGTCCAACTTTTACATCTGATGGACCGGAATCCCGATATTGGGGAATGATCCGCCTGCTGATATACTTATGAGGGGTAAGGCATTCTGCGGTAGTGAGTCACGCTTTCGTTGGCTTGATGTCTGCGGACCGATAATTAATCAGTATAGTAGACCAAGGGTGATTGATACAACTCAGCACAATCACGAATCCGAAGCTGAGTTAGCTGAACTGAATGTTGCATATGCGGAAGGGCACGAGTGTTGGCAGATAGACTTCCATCGAAAATTAGCAGGAGTCATTGTTGATAGTGAAGTCAATATATGCTGAAAAGCCGAGATGCGCCGCACAGATGTTTTATCCTTGTTTTGAATCATCAGTAGTGCGTAATCCACGAAATTCCTAGGAGTCTGAAACCCGCGAGGTCCCGGCTGGTAGTTTGAACACTTAAGGATTCGGCCAGCAGTGCGATTAGCTCTCACTTAGACAAGGTGTGGCGCTACCCATCTTTCACTCACGAAATCAGTAATACGTGACTACATGCGATTTCTCAGAACAAAGTTTCACTCATCTGGTGAATTTTACTCTTCCTCTGAGCTACTTATAAATTGTTGGTAGTGTGACTGAAGGATGAGTGACTCTGCATCCTGCCTACTTATGAGCTAAACACACTACTGAACAGCCGCCGGTGGCCGAACGGTTTTGTCCAAACCACTAGCCGGGAGGTCGTGAGTTCCAGGCTCTGTGGAGTTTTATGATATACATAGTGCTGATGGTTCCCAATAAGGATGAAATAATTGTGCACGGATTCTAGGCTTTTCAGCATAGATTACTTTCACTTACAGAATGGAACCGCCGTTGTTAAAAAAATCTCGTCTACCAATAGCGTCACAAAAATCGTTCACCGGTCAGCTCCTTAGTGTGAGCAGTAAACGGCCGTTTTTACCTATCCTTAAACCAAACCGTCACGGAACGACTCCGCCATTCGCTGTCTAGATGCAAGATAACACTCATGAAATCGCTGGAAACTTTTCGTCTAGATAAAGTACTGCGATTTCTACAATATCGTACCAAGTGAAATATGAGGGGAGACCCGTGAAGCACATTCAATTAAAGATCATAAACGAGAGACTCAGCTGGGTTCACTTGTTGAAACCAAATTAGTGTGTAAATAAGAGCATTTGGCGAACTCCCTCACTGCGTAGCTCAACGGTGCTTAGCAAGGGTAATAATATGTATGAACGAGCGCATAAGTCATCGCTGTTCGGCATGTACCCGCTAACCAACAAACAGTTCCACTTCGCCTTTTCAGACCAAAAGTCGATCGGGAGAAAAAGGGAAACTGAAGAAATTATGTAACCTGGCTTTGATCATTGGCTGACCCACGTAAGCATACAATATCTAGGCTGTTAAAATTGCACAAGCATCCGATGGTGCCATAATTGATCCAGTTGTCTCAACAGCTATAAGATTTCTAAGTAAGGACAGTTTACAATGAATGCGCTACATTCGCGAAAACGGTAATTTTTGAAGGGCAGTCTACATCAATGGATTGGTAGGGTAATTCACAGGAACAACTTTGTCATACAGTTCACACACAAACAGTGGCGAAACGAGTGACAAAATGTCCGCTGATGAATTCAATAATGTAGAGACAGGAGGATGTCGTACTTCCCGGAAGACAGAGTGCATGTCGCCAAACCGTTTCAAGAGCTAGACTAAGTAAGCGAGTATTGATCAGGTATTGAAACCATCCACCATCCCGAAGAGGGGTAAGACGATCGAACGAAGATCCAACATGGTATTAATCGAATGAGGATGGAAACAAAACCGTTACAAACGAGTCGGAGTGGAAGCATCTTATACGTTTGAAAAATATACCGGACGATACCGGGATGCGTATTTATCACATGCTGAAATGAAGCCGAATGATCGATGTCGACTAGACAGGGATGGAAGTTGATAAAGCCGGAGAGAATCAAAGACAATAATCTGGTTCAATCCGAATCTGGGTGCAGCATTCACGACTTTCGCGGCAACCGGGGAATTGAAGTGGTAGGATCCCGATTGGACCTGAAAGCGTAAACCTCGACAATTCACAAACCGCGACGACAATCAAATGGACCAACTGACTAACCTTTGATAAGTTCGTTATTCAATCAGAGAAACAGCTAGAATAATCAATAAAAATGCACTGCACACAAACTGTGATGCTCCAATAAATTCGGCAGAAAAACAGTAGGAAGATCGAAAGAATGGAAAGAGAATCTAACTGTTGAACTGAACTAGAGAGGTCGAGCTAGGATAACATCAATCTACTCTAGTAGGCACCTTGGGCACTTCTCGAACACTGCTCGGCTAGAATACAAGTGCCTTACTTAGCTCAGTTATAAATTCAATGCAATGCATCAGTTACTGCACTGGCGTCCACCTAGCAAGCCTAAACTGAACCCCGCATGCTTACTCTTAGAATGCGAAGTGGACGTACCATTAGCTACTTTCAGTCTTCACTTTCACCAACCCATCAACCAACCAGGCATTCTGTTGGGAAGTTTTGCACTTAAAATATTCGAATGCACACTCCTGTAAAGTTCACTGTAGTTCAATTCAGAAATCACGAACGACGAACGTCTGCATTCCGGTTAGAATCCCGCAGCGTCCGATAGCGAAGGACTTAGTTCGGGTCAAAACGATCATCAAAATTAGTGTGGCCTGCCATAATCAACTTGGCTAGCGGTTCCAACAATCACGGCAATAAAGCTAATGCATTCAACAGCGCCCTGTCATCAGTAACGAACGGTAAGTTTCTCCGAGAACACCTGGCTAGAGCTCGGACTAAAACAGACGAGACCAAGCTGTTGAGAGTAATTTGATCTAAAACCAATAAATGAGGATGGCTGTCAACGGCTTTCCATGGAGCCTCTGGATCAAAGTTTGTTCCGGGAGTCCACATTTAGCCCCGAAATTCACTGAAAAGCGCCGGTTCAGAAGGACGACGACAAAAATAAATCAACCATTTATCAGACTCTTGACCTGAATCAGTCCTTTTGATCTTTGCGCAAGCCATACTAGTAAATTTTCAAATCCTATCTCTTACTAAAAATATTTTTCAACTGAAGACTTCATGTGACGTAAATTTCTGTCCACGGCGGGGGATACAGGATTCTCTCAAACAAGTGGTTGCCGTCAATGTGCTACGCAAATTAGGTGGCATATTTGACCATTAACCGGAATCTCTTCACAATGTTAACCTTTTTCACTCAATATGATTGAGGAGCACCTAATTGTGAGAGATTTCGTCCATCCCAACTTAGGAGTTTTCCTTCAGTTCTTTTCGCCATGCTGTAGGCATGGCCATGCTCCGTAGGCAACCTTAATGTACTGGTCAATATCGTTTGTTGCAATTTCTTTGACTAATTTGATCACTTCGAAATGTTCACAAAAACGACTCTACTTGGACTGGCGCGTGTAAAGGAAATGGATGTTACTCCTCACACAATGAAATTCGCGCTTTCCCTCCTCCAAACGCTCAAGGCTATGTTGCTTTGTTTTGGAACTACTTAATTTGACAAGAAAACTGCACCATAGAGAAAACTGAATACATCGAACGAATCATCAATAGGTGACGGTGTGGAAAATCTTAGGTTCCCCTTATCATTCATCAAGCCACACTAATCCCTTCACATTCAGAAAAGAGGTAAACTACACACGATAATTTTGTGAAATTCATATTCAGTCGATGATGGCTCCCTTACAGTCATTGTGAACGCGGGTAGGTATGAACACACCTTAAACAGCGTAATGAGGGTTAATTGTTCTGCGTAATTTTTACACAGTTGATTACCTCATGGATAGACAATGTGAAACGAGCCGTGAGGATCGACCCGAATGCAGTGACCAAGCTTCCCAAAGTGCACCAAATGGTACTAAGAGGAGCAGACAAACAAAGCCACAATAGCGAAGTTGAAAAGCACCTGATGGTAGGGTGTATAGGGGCAAGGAAAAATCGTGGCGTCGAAGCTTCGGAGAACTCCACCGGTAAACCATATTGTGTACTTTCCTCCGCTTTGATTCCCACACAAACCAGTTGGGACCGTGCGTATCGATGAACCTATGGAGATATGACTGCCTCAGAAGTGAAACTGGTTAAGAAAACTACAGCTTCCAGTTATACGAGGATCACTTCCCCAAAAGGCTTATACAAAAGGCTTTAACGTTCAGAGTAAGCGTTATCGCAAGCTTCCCACAAATGTGTGAAGTGCTCACAAACGCATTAACACAATAGTCCATGTCTTACTGGATTTCTCAGCAAGTTCATCTTTGCTTGAAGTGCAGTAGCCCAATATGGAAGCTTGCAACGAGATCACGAAGCGGATTTCTACAGCATTGCGCGCAATCAACCGCAGTAACCGTGTACTATTCGATTATTCACTTCCGGATCGCTTCCTACTGCTTGCTGACGATCTACTCTAGGTTATCAAAAAGCACGAACGCCTGCACACTGGCGGAAGCAGATCCTACAGAGGAACAGAGAAACCTTAACATCCGATATCACGTCATCACGAACGTGGCATCCATGATAAGCAAAACAAGCTGAACCGACTTGTCGCACATTACGAATCGAATAAAATGGAATCAACTTCAAGAGAACTTCATGAAGGTCCTTGTAGTTGAGCCAAAAGACTAAAGCTCGGAACGTAAACGACACGTCATAGCAGTGTCAGAGCTCACTATCACCTGAGAGCCAGTGTTCGAAAAACGAGCAAACTAGCCATAAATCTTCAAAACACTATCATTCACGAGTACTCGATGATCTACGATCGACCGAAATCGACTGAACTCGGTGCGACTATGTTGATATAGGATAACTCAGTAAATTGCCTAAATTGTGTTCAAAAGGTAGCAGGTTGACAAGGGAAACGTAGCACAAGTAGAACGTGAGCGGAGAAAAGAGGAAAAACGGATGGTCTTAAAGTCAATTCGTACAGTATATTTTACACACTACACATAAAAGTAAGATTTCAAAAGCTCCCCTATTTTGTTCACACTAAGTTATGGCTAATTTGGACGGAAAAATAAACTAAGACGGCCTAAAAACAATGTCAATTTCAGGTAACTTTAATGAGGAAAGCTAAGTTCTAGCAACTAGCTTTTAAAAACAACGATAGTCGTTGGTATAGACAAAACAAACGTAAGAGAGAAAATGCGTTCAGAATCAAAAAATTACATAGGATAGAAGGATGTGTGTGGGCAGGGAACCTGAGTTTATCGTACTGGTGCGGTGCCATAAATGCTACTTGATCACTAAACACAGCACTCTAGAGAGTCGCAATAAACAACTTATGCTCGCCTGGCATCCGCCCTGTACTGCCGCAGAAGTGCTTCTATGAAGTCTGAGGTGGTCGAACGTCCACCGACGTCAGTCGTTAATACTTGTCCACTTTCGACAACCTTGTAGATGGCGGACTCCAGTTTCGCAGCATGTTCATTCAGATTGACATGACGCAGAAGATCGCAACTTGCCAACAAAATTGCAGTCGGATTGGCGATGTCGCGCCCAGAAGCTTCAGCGTAAGAATGCCGTGTGCCCGGTTCAAACACAGCAATCTGAAGTCAAGAACAATGCAGCCCAAATAGTGGAGATTAGAACAAATCGGATGGCACTCAATTTGCCATCTTACACATAGATAGAACTACACCAGTCTTCTCTAAGAGCGCAAACCGTAAAAGTAGGGCGAAATCGCTCGCCATTCCTCGGCGTCCGGTTTTCGGATGTGTTCTCTTAAGAGAGCTGTTGTTACAATCACCAGTTCGATTCAGATTTTCAGCAATGAGAAGTGTAAGCATTTACTTCGGTTCAGTCTGTGGATACCGATAATTAACGATGAGGAATAGGAAGAACTGAGGACCACGTGGTTATTTTGTTCACCCAACTTCATCTTTGAAAGAAAGTCGACTGCCTGACGAACAAAGAATTTACAGAGTACAGCGAAGTCTTTCGAAACATATCACATCACTCAAATGGGCGAGCGGTCGACTTGCTGACAGAAAGCACCTCAGCACAACTAATCTGGCGTTCTCACCAAATAATCGAAATGTTTCCAGGGCACTGAGGGTCGGAGAAAAACAGCTACCCTTTTTCCTCAATGAACAGCGATCATGTTTCAAAGCCATAAAGCAGGACTCACGGCTACGCCTTCTATCGATAACATAATGTCACGTCATCACCCAATATGCCTGTGCTGAATGAAGACTGAATGGGTTTCGGAGAACTTAGCTGGCAATATCACCATCGGAACCATGCAATGATTCCGACATGTAAACTACTGCTTAGGACCTAGGGATCAGGTTTGGTGTTGCATCCGGCCAGTCTTGAAGTAAAACTTTGAACGCTGAATGTCCGAAACACACGGCAACACCTAATTTATTCATTGTGTATTTCGGTGAAGTCTGACCTAAACAGCAGGATATTATCTGCAAACTCTATGTTAGTCAACAGATCCCGACGACAATTACCTGTTGCAGGCTCTTCCGTGATGTGCCGGTATCAAACCACCCAAAAGACATCCAGGCGATCAGGATATCTTCTAATCCAAGCACACCGACATCTGACATGTGTAATCGAAAACAAGAACTTCAGACAGTGGACAGTGCAGCGATTGCCGCGTTTGTGAATTTAGATGTACCAGAATGAAATACTGATGACTGATTGATAGTAAAAAATCGTTCAGCTGCAGCAGCTTTTCGGTGTCTAACTGCCATGCCACCCGAAGGAAGCACGAGGGTTGAGATACTGACAGGTTGCCCAAGCCTAGACAGGGGAAGTCGAGAGGCAGAGGTCGGGTTCGAATCACGAACCCGACCGACATAATGATGAAAAACGACCGAAACGCGAGGTAAACTCACTTCATGGCTGTAGGACACTCCTGGAACGACACCAGCTCCACCGACCAAACCAGCAGCAAGGTTGTCTACTATGTTTCCATAGAGGTTAGGCATAACCAAGACATCAAATTGTTTCGGTCGACTGGCCAATTGCATGCAGCAGTTGTCGATGATCATTGATTTGAAAGTGATGTGTGGATAAAGCTTGGACACTTGTTGACAGGTATCCAAGAACAGGCCATCACCCAGTTTCCTGCGTGTAGCAGAATGATACAGCGTATGATAGACACCCACGGTGCCAAGTTATGCGAACGATATTACTCTAGTTACGGAAGTGCAACTCAAATGTGGTCAGCTGCAGGATTAGGCTTAATAATACCCCCAATGAGAAGACATGCAAGATCCGAAATACCAAACAATGAGACTCACATTATATTTGCCTTGTGAACCGCTGTGACCGTCGTTCGGTTATTTCGGACTGCATAATCAAAGGCGAATTTGGCGATTCGTTCGCAGTTATAGCGGGTCATAATTTTGAGACATTCGACCACACCAGGTACAGATTCGTGTTCCAAACACGAATATTCTCCTTCTAGTTGCTCACGGATAATCGCGAAATCGAGAGGACCGTGTCTGTTTGGAATTCCCGGTACGCTGCGGACGTGAACGACGTTGGCGTACAGATCGAGCATACGACTGTCAGGAAGTAAGAAATAAGTGCCTCTGTCATAGTTCAAAGCATCCAAAAATTATCGATACATGACCTAGTACGGTTGAGGAATAAAAGAACGTGCATGTAAGAAACGCAAGGAGAAAAAGTGAGAAATGAAAGAAGCCTTCCAAGTAAACTACAGATAGACGGAAATTCAAGTTGGCCATCGAGTATACCTCTCAAGACAAAATGCCCCGGAAGTGCTGCAGAGAGGGACCGCATCTCGGGTCAATTACGTAACATTTCCTCTCGGCGAAACCCATCAGTGGGCACGCTACCTTCGGACGCATCTTTCGTCGTCTAATGAACACGTGTTTGTGCGTGACATTCATGACCAAACAACGGAAACACCAGTGATCCTACACACAACTGTTGCAGACAATGGCCAAGAAGTGGGTAGTTTAAAGTTCACACTTGAAAGGAATCCACTATAGAAAAGAGTGAGCCGTTAGGTTTCAAACAAGATCGACATAGCGCCTAACCGATGCCGACGCACCAGTGCTGTCTGTTTCCATCCATCTTGTCTGAATGAGTGGTTAATAAAGCACAGTTAAACGACGGAGGGGCACCAATGTTGTTGTTGATAGTGATACTGAAGGTGCATACAGAAAATGTGTTGTTTCGATGGTCATTTACGGTAGCAGAATCTGCAATTCGAGAAAAGACAGCGAGAGCTTGCAGCTTCTGCCGTAGCAAATAAGCCCCTGCAATTCGAGAAAAGACAGCGATGAAGTCTTCCTCACTGAGGGCTTGCAGCTTCTGCCGTAGCAAATAAGCCACAAAACAATCGATCATTTGTAACGTCGCTTCTTGAAAAGACCTCTTCAAATAATAATGGGGATGTACTTGAGTTTCAGTTCACGCTCCTCGATTAGATTCCACTTGAAAGGCACACTGACAAGCTCTATCACCATTTTTTTTATGTACTAATTCTTAAATTTTTTGTCGAACACCGTATTTTGACCGTACAACCAGACGCTTTCCAGTGAGAATACGAAAATGCAATCCGATATCCCTGAATGACTGCTGGAAGGGAAACAGCTCAATTGCGAGTGCGTCACGCCGAAACCAATCATATCATAGACAAAGAGCACGTCTTCCAAACCATACATCAGGTTCTCCTGAATCCGTCAAAAATGACAATCTAGACTTTTATCGATTGCAGAATCAATCAGAATACGGCCACGTGACACACAACTCTAAGCTCAAGACAATGACGTAATTCACTTGACCCCGTGACTCAGTGGCCTGCCATCCTTTTTCTATCAACTTACCTGTGAATTCGTCTAACCGTAATATACTGGCCAAGAGGACCAACCACAGAAAATAAGTTCTCTATAGAGGAAAATGTCGGGAGCTCTGGTAGAGTAGATGGTGGTCGTTCGCTGAGCTGGGCAATTTGACTGCAAACGTTTTATCACCAATCGAGCTGACATCATCAGTGCGTTATTGGGGAGCGTAGTAGTGCGTAGCGGTTAGTAGTCGTGCCACGTTGTGCCCAGCTCAAAATAAGTTCTGTTTGCTACCACCCTTTTAATCCTGAATTGCCAAGCTCGGCGAACAGATCAACAGCCACCTGATCAACAACCAATAATCCTGAATACTATCAGAATCTTCATTCTCCTGCCTATTAACCCTCGATTTCCTATCGTCGCAAATATACATGCAGAATTTCCTATTCTATGGAGTCTTTATGGAGTTGAAACGACCAGTCAGGACAACTTTCAGAGTCAGAGCTCTCGTGAAAAGTTACCAACATGACTGAAAACACCGCTCTCAAATTCTGTGGGAGAACTACAGTTTTTCGACTCTTCAATACAGGAATGTCAATCAGCCATCGAAGCTGAAGGTTGTGGGAACGACCCCCATTAAAATGCATGGGTTCTGCGCCGTTATTGGTTTTCACCAGGAATGAAACAGCTGTGCAGCGTTGTTGTGCATTCGTTGGTAAATTAACCTTCTGAAATTGAGATTCGAAATTTTTTTGCACCATGGATTCGCCATATTGAAAGCATCCTAAAAGATCGCATGCGTTTCTCATTAACCAAATAGACTTTGCGTGCAAATGAATTCGTCTAATGATTTCCAAAGTCGCTGGAGATGGCTCAGTGGTTAGGGCGCGAACTTATTGCCTGGAACCCGATCTTTGCATCTCGACTGCTCCCGTCTAGGCTTGAGTAGCCTGGTAGTATCTCACTCCTAGTGTTCCCTTCGGGTGGTGTGGCAGCCAAACACCACAACGATGCTACAAATGGACCATTCAATTTTAATTATATATATATGTAGCTAGGTTGCTGGGATGTTACAATAAATCGCTACCATGACATTCTATACGACGGTATTCAGTCCATCCAGTAATTCGAATTCTTACGGGTAACTTCCACAAAACGTCCAATGGATCAAACCAATCTTTGGACTGATCGGGGTGTAACAAAAGTTTCAGTTGGTGTTAACAACAGATTCAACTGAAGCTAAGCCCAACTTTTGTTTCTGATATTTTCTAACCGAAAAAGTAAGGTAAACGCAAAATCCAGCAGCAGGTCGACTGATTCTCCCGTAAAGTATACTCCACTTGCAAATGAATGTATTTCGCCGACTGCGTACAATTCGGCGTTCATAGGGTTGACGGAAACTCGGTGACTGCGTCTGCCTGGTGAGGCTCCAGGAAATGGGAAGCCGGTCGTGGGCTATCGAAGAGATCTTAGCAACCCTATAAGTAGTGTGTCGCCAAGAAGAAAAAACAAGTTTCAGTTTAACAAACGAAGGCCGTATGTGCATAATTTGGTTCGTGTCGTCAAGTCGATAAGCAGAAGGTCACCTAAATTAAAGAAGGAAGAAAACTGAAAGTCCACAAGAAAAACATACCAATGAATCGATGATAGCAGTGTAGTGGTGACAAGAAACAAGTGGATGGATACAACAGCAGTAAGGAAATGTTGGTAACTCAGGTAGCGCAGATGGTCGTCGGTTTATTCACTGAGGTGGGCGATTTGACCGTAAAAGTCTCATCGCAAACCGAGTTGGCGTCATCAGCGCATTGTCAGATAACAAGGCGGAACGTGGCGATGGGTCAGTGGTCCAAACCAACACGGGGGATAGTGGGTATCATCTAGGTATCCATAGCTTACAGCGATCAGCTACGGAGGTGTAACAACCGCGGAATCACGCTAAGTTATTTACCCCGGTTGCACGCCAAAACATATTGGTCCGCAGTCCGTCATTTTAATTTATTGATCAGATGCACATCAGTGTACCCTCACTTATTTTACTATCGCCCACTAGCCGGTTATATGACAGTTGCACGATTCATGTTTAAACAGAGGAAAATTACAGAAAATGGTCGATGGCTTGTTCGCTGAGCTGGGCAAATAAGCCAACGACCATCTACGCTACCTGAGCTACCGACATTCTCCTCTATTACAGAAAATGGATGCCGAAAGCAGCAACACGTTAAAGGTCACCGTAACGGTGAATCTTATTATGAACCTATAAGAATGCTTTAGGAAAACTGAGAAGCTGATGTGCAATTTGTCAACCTAACGAGGTGTCGGATGTGAAAAGCAGCATAAAGACGTGTGTACCTTAATCCCGTTCAAAGGCCTAGGCGCCTTACTATTGACCATCTTTGCTTTTCTTGAGATCGGTCCAGTATTCCTCCATCTCGTATTTGCTAGTGTAAAATTTCCTCCATTTTCGTGTGACAACGTCCGAACCTTAACACTTGTATATTGTTATCAACAACAAGGCATTAGACAAAGCACTGGAACTGTTCAGCCCCACTTACAACGCACCATCACACTTCCCCCCAAAAAAATCAAATGAAAATGTATCGCGGTCAAAAATATCTTCCGCGCTGTCATCCTCCTAATGAGAATACATAGTGATTTGCGAAGAATCAAAACATCTTTGATAGAAAAACTGAGACCCCGCAAAAGATAAGGGGACCACACCACGTATTTTGTCCAGAGTTCTTACTCGACCGGAGAACACTACTGTTAAACCTACCGCAGAATCATATTGACCGTTTTGACCTCTCGTCGTCCAACCGGGGTGCGAATTATCCCTTTCAAACCTACTTTCGTCTTGTTTAGTGACTGTATGGCGAAATTGAGATCGTCAGAAGCAACACTGCTTAAGCCGTTGAGTCGCACCTCTTCAAATTCCACTGGAATTCCGAACTCTTGAAAGACGTTCCTAACCGACAAGAATAATTCTGGCCACACACCATCGCCTGGAATGAGAGTGACGGTCTTCTTCCGCAGTGTTGCAGTAGCATACGAACAAGCATTCTGAAAGGGGATAGTCAATATTCTTCAATAGCACAAACATCTATTTAAAAAGGTGACAGGAATGTAGTGATCCTTGATATGGAAGCAGAAAAAAGCTTACAAATCCTTGAAAAAACTGGACGCCAGTCAATCCTTTACGAAATGGACGACAAACTGATGTTCAAACAGGGAAGAATGTTCCGTCTTCGGACCTGTGTCCTGAGAAGCAAACAGAACATTTCTTATGTGTGCAGCTTCCTCAGAATTCAAGCGAGAACTAAACCAACATCCCCTAAACACAGAACACTGTAAACGAATGGGCGAATGAGGCATGGCTAGTGAAAACAACACTCGACATAGGGCATTCTGCTAAATCGGTGACTGGATACTGACAAACATTAATGCATGGGGGGTCGACATATAGCAGCTTCTTAACGATAATTCGAGAGAAGCAAGAAAGAACTTACTCCATTCATCTGGACTGAAGGGAAAGCCCGGATCCTGGAAAACTAGCGAAATCAAGCCGAATGTAGAAACTCACCAGGCCGTTAAATATCCGGTAGCGCATCACGAAAATCGTTGCACTTGAACAGAATACCGTGCAAAATATGGAGGAATTACAATTCGATCACAGAGCAATCGGTGTACAACAGATCACCAAAATATCTACTAAAAGGAAAATTATGCAAAATTAGAAACCAATGATGAACCAATTGAGGCAGTAGACTAATTTGTTTACATACACAGTTGAGTGAGTTACAGTGAAGTTACACTGGAGATGAGATCACTTCTCGAATCGGGAAGGTTAGGGCAGCTTCTGCAGAAGCTGAGGTGACACCAGTTTGTCTGTCCAGGGTAACGTATACACTGCGATAGTGCAACCTACACTGCCTTATGAATCACAAACGTGGTCTATACGCACAAAAGACATTCGAAATTTGTCAATGTGGCCACCAGTGTTTCCGAAGCATTGGTCGGGTCTGGTGTGAAAATCGGATTTGAAGTACTGAGGTACGCCACCCTCCCCCGCCCAAATTTGAATGCCTTCTCCAGAGGTCCCAGCTCTAGGACTGGCCGTTTTGCTCGTCCTGTATCACACTAAGCTGCAGCTTCGGTACGTCCGAGTTTAGTCACAACCCTCAACACTTCGAAGCCGATCACAGTGTTCCTTTGCAGAATGAATTCTCGGAACAGCGGGAATCGCTTGACAACGTGGTGCCCCCCGACGAACCAGTGCCGAAGCCAAATAGACCACATCATCGTCAGTTATCGGTGGCGAGGGTCGATCACCGCCTGCCGCTCCTTCTGGAACACAAGCGTGGACTCCGAACATGAACTTGTACGCAGCTAGTTTCCACTGCGCTTTTCAGGTGTACGCAAAACGCGCAAACTTCGCTTAGTCATTGAGAAGCTAGTGGATCCTGAAGTCAAACGAAACTATCAGAACCAACCCTTCGAAAACCTGCCGGACGGTACGGTGTCGGACATAGAAGGTCACTGGGAAAAGATATCCAAAGCGTTACTCAAAGCCTAGACCTCTGTTTGCGGTATAACCATACAACCTCATCCGAACACTGGATCTCTGTTAGGACCGTGTTCTAGCTGGAGACCCGGCGACAGATTCCCCCTGGCTGCCACAACTCCACCCGGCACATCGTCCGACGCCAGGTGAAACTAAGTGTCCGCGCAGACCGAGAAGCTGGGTGGGCCCGAGAGGCCGAAGAAGTAGAAGATGCAAAGAATGCTGGGAACATGCGCAAGCTGTTCTACTTGAGTCGTTCGATTGGTCCTCGAAAACTTCTTGTCAGCGAAATAATCGTGGACCAGAATGGCTCCCTGATATGCATCAAAGCACGACGTTTGGACCACTGGGCACAGTACTTCGAACAGCAATTCAGTTGGCCATATGCTACCTCCAATCCAGAGACCTGGCCTTCAACAGAAAGGTGGATCGTAAATACGGAGCTGCCTTCAGTTTCAGAAGTGTCCGAGTGTATTTCTCTACTCAAGCGGCATCGTACTGCTTCCACTTGCACTTTTCAAGGGTGGCAGCGGGCTCCTAAGCCAGTGCCTGTCTAGCCCATTTGGGTCTATCTGGGAGGAAGAGACCATCCCAGACAACTTGGGTGAATCGATAGGAGTGCCCATTTTGAAAAAGGGTACTCGCAGTGAGGTGTTAGTTTGACGCCTGTTGTGACAAGGATTCTGGCACCACTGTTTCTTCGTCGTCTTACGGTGGCACGTGAAACCTTTACTCGTGAGAGCCAAGTAGGATTTCGACCGGGTAGAGGCTACGGTGACCACATCTTCACAATCCGCCGCATGCACAGACGACCCACAATCCTGGTACCCCTTGACTTCTAGGGTGCGTTTGATTCTGTCAACCGATCAGTGCTGTTAACCACACTTGCTCAACAGGGTGTGCCCCAGAAGTCTGTAAACATAATCTGCTACCTATATTCACATACCTCTGGGCGTGTGAGATTACATGGTGAGCTCGTCAAGGATGTCCACTCTCTCCATTCTTGTTCAACTTCGTCATTGATGAAATAATGAGGCGAACACTGAATAGTCTTCAAAACCCCCGTGTTCAAATTGTTGCTGGTGGGAGCCTTGTTGATCTGGAGTACGTGGATCACATCGCCCTCATCTTTAAAGAGCAAAGCGAAACACAAGCCCTGTTGAATAGACTGACCACCATCCCACCATCCTTTGGCATGCACCTTGAACCTTCAAAGTACAAAGTTATGCTTCAGAACAGGCATCCTCCCAACATCTGCATTACAGTTCAAGGAGAATCATCATCATCAACACTATCGTCGACAGCACGACAGCATGATTCTCTCAAGGAGAATCACTGGAGATTGAAAATTTTCACATGCCTCAGTAGCTGTATTAGTTCTGACGGAAGTGTGTCTGATGAAGTCAGTGCAAGAATCTCCAAGGCCCGAATCACGTTTGCTAATTTGTGTCACCTGTGGCGTCAATAAGGCATCTCACTGGATCTTAAGGGTCGTGTGTACCAGGCTACAGTGTTATTGTATGGGTGCTATACATGGCCTCTGCGGGTAGAGGATGTGAGGCGTCTTCAGGTTTTCGACAACCGATGCCTCAGAAGCGTGGCCGGTTGTGGATGGCGCCAGCGTGTTAGTAACGAGGTGATTAGAAAACGGGTATTTGATTGTGCTGCAGGCACCTCAATCCGAGAAAACATCCAGCATCATCGACTACGATGGCTCGGTCATGTGCTACGCATGCTGAAACACCGTCTACCGAGACGAGTGTTGTTCTCCGTGCTTCCTTCAGGATGGCGCAAACCGCGAGGTGGACAGCACATGACTTGGAAGAAAAGGGTGAAAGAGCTCACGACGGGTGTGGGTGTTGTTGAGGCTGTACGCGTACCGCTAAGGCAACAGAGTATTTACATAGATTTTCGGTAGTGGACAGTTAGCTTCCGTGGTGATAAACAAGTAGGATAGCCCTTGGCTTAGTTGATAGGCGTAGTTGTACGGGAATTTGGACAGGGAGCTGTGGTAGTCTATAACTTTGTTGGAGTCTCGTCAGATGGACAGCGTTGTGCAGATAGGTGATGTGACAATGGACGGTGGACACATGAGGAATGATGGAAATAGAACTTCAGAGATGGTGAACAAGGACTAGTATAACTTGAATTTATGTGAGCTAAACAGTACCATAATTAAGGAGGGAAAGTGACGGTAAGACTGTGGGTCACCGGTCCCCCAATCACTGTTTTCAGTTGCAGCCAACAAATAGTGCATGTCAAAAAGGCTCATAGGCGCTAGATTTAAATGCTTGAGGTGGATGGTCAGGGATTTCACTATGTTTTATTGTATGTGGCCACTCGCGGGAGCATTAGACAAGGGCGAGTGTCATGTTTGGCTGACGAAATTGACTTGGTGCGGTGCGACCACAACCAATAAGAAGGTTCATATTAACATTACTCACGTTTGAACAGTCGTCCTCCTGTCCTGACGTAATTATCCTGGTGATATCATACCAAAGGGGGAGCACTGGACTCGAGTTCCGATCCTATTTGAGCTCATCAGCAAAGCATATACAATAGCCGTGTCAGGGTGTGAACTCCAGACATCTGACATGCGAGGCGAGCGTTGTAGCACTATTCCACGCCCACTTCACATCTGAGTAGGTGAACGTGTTCACACTTGGGCGACGAAGATAGCAAGAGGTTTGCACGGCCAGGCAAGCCATGGACGTCGCAAAGTGTGTTCAGGCTACCCCATGTACTTTTTAACGGACGAAAGGACAATTTTCTTTCACTTGTAATCCGTAGCGTTGACAGTCCAACCCAGCAGCTACAAAGAACATCAGCGGTGCCCAATTGAGCATTTCTCGAATTGAAGGCCAGGCTTGGAGCTGCCGGCGATGGACGAAGTGCCCGGGCTCTTGGAGTTTGGTGGTATTCGAACGCAGGATGTTGCAACGCATCTGGGTAACCCTTGCTGCGGGATGTATACAACCACCGCACGAGGTTATCAACCCTCGTGTGAGCCAGATATTTCATCCGGTCCGGGGGGACCAGATCAGTAGACTGCTCATTCGGTTAGAACAAGTAAACAGCAGGTGGAATAGGCAGTCCATGGAGGAGGCAAATGTAACAGCAGCTACTATTTGGACGGTGGGAGTAAGATGGAAACGGTCAGAGGGCGTGCACTGTAGCTAAACAACAAGGGAGCGTTGGTGTGGGTTACCATTTCAGACAGGTGTGCACTGCACTTTTGCGTGAGTGCTTGGTGGGCCGTGGAACGATACAGGAACTTCATCCATTTAACATCCTCAACCGACTGTACTTATGGACGCCGCACTCAGGAACGAGAAACTGCCCTCGGCTTGGTTTACCTCAGTTACAGCAATCATAACCATTAGTGTTTGAACAAACTGCCATGACCACGAGTGTGCAGGATCCCTTGGAAATCTGGCAAGGACCTTGCGCCCCTGATTGACACCTACGTAAAAACGAACTGAGTACCAGTTCTCGTTTGCTTCTAAGCTCCTGGCTGTCAGATTTACGGCCTTGTGCTCTGTCACATTGGTGCAGATCGCCATTGACAAGCTTGCGTGCTTGTCTGCGTCCATTTAATCCGCAGCCGAGACTTGTAAAGCTCGTAGTCGACCGTGATGGCAGTCGGAGTTCTGAGTGTTCCATTTTACATGGTGTTTGGGGCGGTAGTATCTGGGGCCGATTGCTTCTCGGCATAACTGGCATCAAACGCCTACAACGCCCGGAACTAAGTGTTGCTACGGCATAGAAACCCACCTAGCAAGTGATTGGCCAGAAAACGGGACGCATGCTTGCCAAGGATCAAAAGGTTTTTTTTGACACCGCTCATCAGAAGCACACCCAAATTATTCTTGCGAAACTGTAGGGTTTTAGAAGTTCCGATTTTCGCAATGAGTTAAACAGATCAATTTGCACCTTCCGTGACGTATTCCTCATGGCATTTTGTTTAAATGAGGAAAATATCGAGGTCACNAGAAACTTTGACAGTTTGTGGTTGTGTTCCAGAAAATAAGAGGTTACTGCAAGTTGGTTCATTGCCTCCGTAGACAAAACCGCACTGGACGGCTGGTGCTTCGCGTACTTTTTTATTAGAAAATACGCTCGGCTTACTAGCTTCTTCGGATTCCACGGATTTCCGTTGGTCTTGAATGGCATCTGCTGCATTTGTAGCTACCCTTCATGTATTCATTCATGTATTCATTTCTCAACGAAAGCCGCTTCCGAAGCCATACAGACGAAGTTCAAAGCCGTGTGCACCAATAATTTTCAAAAGAGATCGATTAAAACAAATCGCAAAAAATGACGGCAGATGAGGGTGGTTTTTAGTCCACGCATATATGCAAAGAAGTGCAACGTTTTGACGTTAAAGTTTTTATTTCGCAATAGCCGCTGGCGGCTATTGCCCAAGTTTCCCAGGTCGGTCTTGTTCTTGTCGGTCAGTGGCTGTCGTTCATCTAAGAGGCACAAGTGAAAAAAGGGTGTAGCACTGCTCTCTATGTTCTCAGTGCGGGGCATTATACTTGCCAGCATGAGGATATGCATAAATAAGTGTGTAATAGTGCTTAAACTGGGTTTTAGAAGGAGCGTGGATAACCGTCGGAGGAAGGTCATTCCACGCAGCTACTACCCGAAATAAGAAAAAGTTTTGTCTAATTAGTGTGTGTGCTCTGAGCTTGAAAATTTTCTTACTATGTCCCCGCCGGGTGTTTGCTGGGTCAACGGTAATAAACCCTGTTTGCCAAGTTTTGTTCAAACAGGGCATAAATAAGAATTAGGTCCCGTGGGAGGAGACG